ATCGCAGATGGTGCTTGACAGGCTGACAAAGAAAGATTTCCAGGGATGCTTCCAGGCTTGGCAGCGGCGCTGGGATCGTTGTGTTCACTCCCGGGGGAACTACTTCGAGGGTGATGGATGAATTTAATACCTGAGATAAGTGTACGGGTTTTTATAGGCGCAGTCTTGAAACTTTCCGATCGCACCTCGTACGAGTTCCAGTGTCGCAGTGAAATGTTGGAGACTCGTGAAAACAAGATGATTATTTCGGGGATGTTCCCCGTGTAGTCTTGTGGACGTTTACGAGGTTTCAGAGGTGTTTGCCGTTTCCATCATCAGGATACTAATGCTTACTGATCGTTCTCGTCTTGCTGAATACCAGAATAGATTGAGGTAGGAATCTGTTCTCCGCACTGATTTTGGATCCCCGGACTAACCAAATACTTAGCAAGTGTTTCGGTTAAATATATGTTTGTGGGTATTCTGCAGTATATAAAAATGTACAATACGCTATACGCGATAGATGACGAGGCTTCTAGTACATTCCAATAGGAAGCTTTATTACCCCTTAGAGCAGCTCCATTGCATAAACTCGGCCGTATCATCCCTCTTGCCCTTATTTCTGCCTCACCTGCCTGCCTCCCATCCCCCACCAAACGTCACTCCATGGATGCTGCTACCGAATGATCTCTCCCCCTTGGAATTCACCGGTTACACGGCCTGTATATTGCGTAGGATGGGAAGCATTCTGCAGCATCTCCAACCTTTCATCTGTGCATTGCAGAAAATCTCTTCTTTGATCGTTTGTTGAATGCAGAGTTTGATAGCAGACAATAGTATTATTTAACGTTTTGGTACACGTGCATACAAGTTGCCCCAAAAAATTGTTTTCTTTTGACTCTTCTATGTTTATTTTGGGTGACTGTCATCAGTTAGTCGACGGTCACCTGATTTCGAACCTTTACTTAAACTAATTCTTAGCTACTGTGGTTATGATTCTTCTCGCCCATGTAATGGTTTTCGGAGCAAATACTTCTTTCTGTGACACGCCTGTTTTAGAGCTTTATGCAACCTGCTTTGTAAGAACTATAAGAACGTACGTGTCTGTAAAACTTAATATTCGTGTCTTTTTAAGGAAAAAGGACCTACTGTATTGGAAATAAATTGCTTTCTCGGAGATTTGAGACAATATTTGAAATCCCTTCTCTTCCCACTTTTCCGTCTTTTGCTCTTTGTTCTGAGAACCAAGTGAAAATCCATAAAAAAACCCTGTGAGCGACCTATAGAGTTACGAATGTATAAACAAGTGGTGTACATAATTACCACTGTGTCTCTGAAGAGACAATAAGTGATCATAGTAGGAAGTACTGATACATAACATGGGTGTATATTTTATAAGGACTCCACATAGAATTTCAAACACCTGTTTTGCTGAATGTTTGGTGTAGGTTTAATACAAGTAATCTGATTTATTTCTCTACGCATTTGAATATTTCTGGCATTCATTAGATTTCTAACAATATATTTGTTAGAATGTAATACATAATATGTACTTGCTAATGCCTGCAGTGGTACGACATGTACAAACATGTCACTGATTAACGCATTCGGAAATTCTGTGTGCTCCTTTATGGGGTAAATATTTCTATTATTTTCGTCGTTTGTTTAAAAATGTATAATTACGAAATCCATAAATAGGTTTCACTGCGTTTATTGAACATTAATCGAAAATGTTTTGCCTTATGGCGGCTAGATAAAGCCCTAATCGTATAGAATTGTTGAACATTGTTCGTCACTGTTGGCGTATTTTGTCAACGACTTAACATTTTTCTTTCTGTCTGATGACACATAGGCCTATGTTCTCATATCGGCCTCTATTTCCATTCGTACTTAGACTCATTTGCTCTTGAACGTATTTTGATAGCATCTGGTATCAAGGATCTGTATGAAAACTTTGAGTTATTTGCTCTTATTTCTTACTTTCTTTCCATTATAATTTTATTTTCTGACTCAAGTGGTTGCTTTGTGAGATTTTTAGTCCACGAGTGTGTATCTCATTGTTTGTTATCTTCCTCACAGATTCGAAATTGTTCCTGTGGACATGGTTTGGACCTTGTGGGCCGGTCTTAAAGCTCATTGTATGTTGGATATTTCCGTCATGTTTAATGTTTTCGTATCCTTTTCACGTTCAGTGTTTACACGAGTTAACATGAATGTGCTTTGGATTGTGTGAGGTAGCTTATGGAATTATGGTTCTTGGAGCTGTGTCTTATTTTTATGGGTCGTGGATTTTTTTAACGCCAGGACAATTTTCTGTAACCATTAACTATTTAGTGATATAATAGTGAGTAATTTAATTTTTATTTCCTAATTTGTTGGGGTTATACTTAATTTCAAACATTTGGGGTTCTTTAGCTGAGATTATTGATCGTATTTGCTATATCCCACACGTTTTTAGAGACATTTATATTTAAATGTACGAGCTGAAATAATTCGGACAATATGGTTAGGACTAGGCTGGACGAACAACATTCGATGATCCATGGAACTACTTTTTTGAGTTGTGTTGAGTAGGTTAAATTAGATAGGCGTAGTATTCGTGTGAGTTGCGTACCCGTCCAGGTGTAATCGTCAGGATTTAAGATGTTTGTACAGTTTTATATATAGTCTTTAAAGCAGAAATCATCCCATAAACATCAACCTTCTGCTGAAGGAAGTATCGATTATATTTCGATACTTCAGTCCTGAATTGAAGGGAGGTTGTGTTTCGCGTGTCATTACTGTAGAATTGAAAAGGACATGAAAAAGAGGGCCTGTTCTTCGATATCACCTGTCAAAGAAGAACGAGGAGGAAGAAAAAATTGTGAGGTCTGCAATACGAAACGACCGCTGTATCGGCAGCTATACTGTATAATCGATACTCGAATTGAATAGAAATCGGCAATCTGTGCAATCCCACATGGTGGTCTGTGCTGTTAATGCATTTATTCCAATCCTCACCCCCATCTGTGACCTTCCACATCATTTCTACAATATATTGGGCGTGGGGGGTGTTGCTAGAGACCCGAAATTTTCGTGCCACTGCATTTCTTGAACCGCAGTCGTGTCATTTTATTCTTTGCCTGCGAGATAACATCGAGAACTAGAGATGACAACTTCCGCTTGAGGATGCATTAAGTGTTCGGTGCATCTAGCATAAAGATATCGTAATGTTGTTTCATGCGCTGTTACGTTCAACGGCGCTACGTATTTTGAATCCAGATTATTTGTTTGTTGTTTAACACTGCGCATTGATGTAATTTACTTTTCTGTTGTAACATGGTTGTGAAAACAGTTCATATTTTACCTGTCCAAACAAATGTTTTACATTTATTGTAAAAAAATATAACTTATCCCCTTATTTAGAGTATCATTTTCCCGCTGAACATAACAGCTTCCCCTGTTGCACAGATTTATCTTGTTACATAGCAGTTAGCTCGTATTAAAACTAGTGTTAGGTTAAAGTAATATTGTTTAATCATATTTTAATTGGTTATAAGTTTATTTACAGTGTTTATGTATGTGATTGTGCGCGCGAAGGTTTTCTTCGGAAAAGACTTTACTTTGTTAAAAGAAGGTGTATACGTATATGTGTGTGTGTGTGTGGCTATAGTTGCATGCGATGTGTTTGGGCACTAATGTTAGTTCAGTGGTTTGATGCATTTAAACACATTTTTAAGAGCGAGAGGAATTTATTTACTGATTGGATGTTACATTCACCATATGATGCATATTTAATTTAAATGTCATGTTTATGTTGATGTTTTTAATGTAGTTTCCTGATGCATGTACACAACTGTTCAGGTTATTTAATATATTATTGTTGCCCAATAATCTGTGAAGTTATTTTAATGTCATTAACTTTGTAAATGTGTGATCTGTACCACTGCCTTTAAGATAAATCAGCAACATACTAGATTTTAAACCCCTTTAAGAACTGTTTGTTCTGTTACTTACATTTATTGTAGGATCTAACCTACGTGTCCATCTTTGCATTGGTATAGATTGTTAATCATTATTTATGTATCAACTGTGTTCAACGGTAAAATCCTCACCCTGTTTCGATCATTAATATGAATTAATACTTTCCGTGTCTCACTGGACATATCTGACATAATATACAGAAAATAGTAGTTGTCATGTATTACTAACATGTGATTTAGTTAAGTATTACTTGAACTGAAAGGGTTAATATAATGTTCCTCTTTTTCTTATTTGACTCCATGAAAGACACTAACCTGTTTTCAATACTTACTTCCTACTTTAGATGTGTACTGTCCTATTATTTTATGGATAACGCCAAGTCCCGACGCTTGTGATTTCGTCGTGTCCACTATCAGAAACTGATTTCTCATTGGTTTTTTGTGCTTGTGATTTCGTCGTGTCCACTATTAGAAACTGATTTCTCATTGGTTTTTTGTTTTTTGTGTACACGAAATGGGGCGTAGAAGTTTAGAGTGGGGGGCATTAGTGAGCGGAAAAAATTCTGTTCTGGGAAAATACAAGGAAAATTTGTGTTGTTCCGGAAAAGAGATAAAGTAAAAAAAAAAGTCAAAATCAGTTACGTGCATTAGGGAATTATCTTTATTAACTGTAGTGGCGGTTTCAGTCTTTTAATAACGCCACAGAATTACGTACAGTAAAAAAAATTGGCGGTCACAAAACTAATTGCGCCGTAGAAAAACTGTTGTGTTATAATTATTAATTCTCATGGTAATTTACAGACCACGTTTTCGAACAGACCCATGGCTACATTGCGTCTACCTTTTATCTTTTATCTCCTGTCGCTCCGGCTAGAAGGTCGCCACAAAATAATAGGACTGTAACTGTGCTATTTCATTGGTTGAAACTCTTGAGTTATTTTTTTCAAAAAAAACTTTTAACGTCTTCTGCAATGTGTGTGATATTATTGTATAATTTTGGTGTAGGAAATTTGAATATTTTGCGCTCGGTTGCAGGGGCCAACTTCTCTGTCTTCCCATACATCCAATATCTTACACGTAAGTAAATGTGTTTGTAGGCCAACGTTATACACTAGCCAATACGTGGTTAAGTTGCGGACATGTATACAGCAAGGGTCAGGTTATCTCTGGCTAAGTTAAAGGAGTAAAGATATTCTGTTTAGTGGATACTTTGACTTCTCTCCACATAACCGTATGCCTTGGTTATTTTATAGTAATTGTGCAAAATTTGAAAACAGTTTTAAGTTCTATCAAATTACATGCTATGTTAACTCTTTACAGGGCTTGGGTAACTTGACTTCTTTAACAGACCGTAACTCGACACGCCGCTCATAGAGTGTCTTTACAGAATTCGTATTTTTGTCTGAGTGAAAGAAGTTATTAAAAGATTGGAATTTATAACTTTTACGCTTGTATTATTTCCGTGGAGACAGGAAATGTATTTCATAAAATGTTTCGACGATTTTAGCCCTGTAAAGGGTTAATTTATATAAATTTATATAGAACTTTGCCGAAGAATGTGTTACCAGAAGGAAATATTTATTTTAACATTAGAAAGTGAAGGAAATTTGCGTGGATTGTTTAAGTGGTCTTCTGTTTTCAGTAAAAGAATTAGTCTTGTGGTGACAAGTGGAATTGTCCACTTGAATCTTAGATGATTTTAAGACGCGTTTTCATGAAGTAGAAGTGTCAGGGACGGGGGGAAGGAACGTTTTAATCGTTTTGTGAGGGGAAAGTTCTATGAACTGATGGCAGGTGGCAGAAGCTCTTTGAGTCCCGAAGTGTCATAAAGTTAATGCAAAGTGATTTCGACCTACTTTCTGGCTAATATTTCAATTAAACCTAGTTACAGAGTATCATTCCTATATTCAGACCTCTTAAAACGTTTCTACAGAGACTTAATTGGAGTTTAAACTTCGTCACTGTGACAGTACTCGTTAAATATATAATTCCACAACTTATTTAATGAAGTTTATTATCTTAGTGAAAGAAAGTCGATGACAGCCCGTAATTGTATGACTGAGTTTTGTGAAAATAGGTGGAATTGTGAAACATGCTGCATTGTAACTTCAGTGGCATTAAATAACATTGACGCAATTTAAATGTGGATTTATGTAACTAACTTAAATATTTAGTTCAGAATTTGTTTGTCAAAACAACTATTTTGTTTAATGGTTGCCAGAGTTTCAGTAACCTTCTTTTTCAATTTGTAGTTTAGATGCGTCATGTTTGTGCGTTTGTTTGCTTGAATCCAGTTTTTTTTACAACTGAATCGGATGTTTGGTTCTTATAATTATCATAATGATCCTTATAATTCTTTTATGTCTAAGAATCCGCCGTATTTAAAGAATTAGTCAAATTATATTTTATTTACGTTACAGTGCATTCGTTAGAATCAAATATACATTAATGAGGAACGTAAGTAATTAAGAGTCTTGTTAAGATGTGACGTATAACGATGTATAAGGTCAGCTTACTGTTTGCCTCGTTAAATCGCGTGAGTCTCCGCGTGACGTATATATCCTGTCGCTTGAAGTTAACGGTTGCGTGAGGCTTGAATTCTCATCTTGTGATATAAGACCTAGTCCAACAACTTTCAGGAGTAGAGCTAATATTGTTCTGGCTGCAAAACACATTCAACAATCCACTGTGTAAAGCGTTTGTAACTTCATAACAGGTCCAATTATAAATGTAAAAAGAATATTCAAGTGTTGTATTATTTCAAACATAATCCCAGCTACAAAAACATCTGTAAGCTTTGATGATATCAGTGTAATAAGATAAACGAGCTATTCTTTAGTTTTTATTTGTTAGAAGAACTTATAGGACCGCTTTACAGCAGATGCTGAAAATGTCCACCACCTTCTAGAAGAGACGCCACCGCTCCTTTAAGTTGCGACTTTGCGAACTGTTTCTGGATCAGAGTTGGCAACAGTCCGTTCACTGTTTATTGTGTTTAACAGGGCGCTGTTGGTTTCTGGGTGAAACAAGTAAGTCAGGACGCGGGAAAAATGAGAGCAAGGTACATAGGCTTTTGTATCTCTAAAGTGCGAATCCCTTTAGAGGGAGGGGATTTGAATGGAAAAGTGACGCGAAGGCAACCAATTAGTTGGCTTTTGGCTGGGAAGTTAGAACGTAACTCTTTTAGGGCGGGCTATAATAGCGTAACGTCTTTAAAACGTTTTGCGAAAATATATGAACTGGTTCAAAATTGAAATGTGGACACGCACACATTTGGCGTGATCTCATAAGCCTAATTTATTTGAAGAAGGGGCAGTGGACTAAAAATAAATTAATTTAAAATATTTTGTTTCTGGTAACACGCAATTTTTCTTCTTGTCGCCTTGTGGGATTATGTTCCCTTAAAAATTCATATGCTTAGTGTTCATGCTGAACTTTTAAGTAGGCCTAATAAGGTTTTAATTTTAAGTGCCCATTGCTTCTTTTTTGTCTGGTGTACCTGAATTAATTCTTCTTTAAATTTTAGTTTACTTGATCGTGAATATCTCGTGGGATCTGCTGGCGTATTGTCGATAATAGAAGGTTAAGGATAAATCAGATTGTGCGGTATAAGCGTTGTCACTTTTCTCACACTGTCACGTATACATTACAAATTATGTGAACACTAACCCTGTTTTTTGTTTCGATTTATTGAAGTAGTATATTACTTACACGCCAAAGGATATTGACTTCAGCTAGAACAAACAAAGTAAGTCCTGTTGAAGATAGTCCATACGTTGTGGCGTAAACTGTAATGTAAAATGATTTTTTTTTTCAAAGTCTTATGAGTCATGTTTTGGAGAGATGCTTAATTTTAATTAAAGGAAAATTGTGTATAAATTTATAAATTTCGACATGTATAGAAATCGGCTTAAAATTGCTGGAAACCCCATTACAGTTCTGAGCTAATAACGTGATCATTGGAGATTTCTGTCTTCTGGGTTGTTGCGCTGTGTAGTATGGTCGATGTTAACCAAAAGTATGACCTCTGAAACGTTGGTTAACATCGACCAGACTACACAGCGCAACAACCCAGAAGACAGAAATCTTCATACTCACCGCTGTGAAAACCTGAAATCAAACATGATCTTATTGCTCTTACAGTGGTACAACATTTTCCATGTTGCTGCTGTACTGCGTGGTTTTAGCTCGTCCTGAACGTCCTTGCTGCGAATTCAGTCGATATTGACAAATTCAATACATTGTCTAATATTCCAGTAGACATGCTCCATCGCTTAGACCCAGGCTCCTGCTATTAATTGCCCCAGCTATGTGAATGCATTATGGAAGCAGGTTGGAACCTGCGAGGACTCTGTCCATCATGTTGCCGGGTTCCCCTCTATTTATTTTTAATCAGTCCCCAACTTCATTCTCTTTTTATTTGAAATCTGCATGAGAGGAGATTTTTTTTGAGGCCTCATTTTAATATTGTAATCGAACGCAGTGTAGGACGGGTGTCTGTAATTTGATTCGTAATTTATCGATATGTCGTCAGTGCTGTGACATTTGATCGTTCTTTAATGTTGACACGCTCGTCTGTATCCGTATGTGATACACTTTCAGTTTTTTATTGTGTTTTTTTGTTCGTATTTCTGCGTTGTTTTGTTTTTCGATGAAGTTATTTCGTTTCGGTATGCACCAGGGATGTCCAGTGTGATGATGCTGATATTGTATCGCTTTTTTAATTTCCTGTTTCTGTGTCTTGTGTATATTTTCCATTACGATGTTTCGTGTGTGAAGTGACGAGAATGACATATATTGCTCCCCATGACACGAAATATGACAGCTTTTTAATGTTATTTTGTGTAAATGTTAATTAAACTATTTGATCTTGCGCTTTTTCATTGTGTTTTATCGTGTTTTATCGGACGTGCTTAATTAAGGAAAACCTTTTCTATTTCCTTGTATATTTCCAGTTGATGTATTTTTTGAGTAAATATACTATACCTCGTGGTTAACGAATGCCATCTGTGTAGAATGTTACAGGTTCGAGACCAGGCGTATCCAGTATGAACTTTTCCACAAGTTTGCCCTCATCTTTATCAAAGTCACTAGACTGCTTCTCCATTGTAAGGTACACGACAGTGGTTCGGATTCTGCATTATGCTGTGGGGTCCCTGTGGTCATATTATTTAATTTTCGGTATTATCTTTCATCGAGAAAGAATAACAATTGTGCAAGCCCGAAGGTAGATTCATGTTACCTTCGGGCTTGCGAACTGGACATTAACCACAGCAAGACACAGTATTGACCTGTGTTTATTTCGTTATGCGCAAAATTAATAATTTTCATTTTCCTATCTTCAGTTGGACTTGGTGGAAATGAAAGCCAATAATTACGTTTAAAAGCGGTTTATCATTATTATCATCGTGATAATAATAATGACAAATAAATCCTTGTCCTTTTTTGCTGTTGCGGGGATTACAACATCTCTTTTCATATGTGACATCTTCTGTCCTGTTTTTATAAAAGTAAAAATTCGGATTTCGTTCTTCGGGATTTTTTCAAATGTTGCCCGAATTTATAACTTGTGTTGGGCAAGACCGTGGTCTAGGCAACACGGAGTTTTCCTCCGTGGCATCCCAACAATTACTCCATTCACACACAGAAGAAGGCAATGGCAAACCACTTCTGGATCATCTGCCAAGAACGTATATGAACAGGTCCCAGTCCGAGAAAAGGATGGAAGGATCCTGTTCATATGGACCTGTCGTCAGACAGAACACTAAATAAATAAAAATAAATATTTCGGAACAAATAAGTAATCCACTCTTCTGCATAGCGACATTTGTTTCAGTTGATAAGAGACATTCTGTATGTGTGCGTGTTGAAAGTTGTCGATTTGTGTCTTACTGGTGGCCACAGAATGTCCACTGCATATTTTATCCAAAGTTGAATTTACAAATACAGTTTATCATCTTTCCTATTCGTAGACGTATTGAAGAAAATATTGAACTTGATGGTGTCCCAGGAGGAAAGGTCAATATTCTGGGAGGTCATAGTATCGGTCATTCTAAGCAAAATTGTGTACATGTGTC